CCATTCGAAAGAGATAGAGATAGAGAGAGAGAGAGAGAGAGAGGGAGAGAGAGAGAGAGAGAGAGAGAGAGAGAGAGAGAGAGAGAGAGAGAGAAGGAATGGAGAAAGAAGAAAGAAGAAAGAAGAAAGAAGAGAAGACGGGAGCGCGAGATACGCGTTCCCAGTGGCACGTGCCCGCGTGCGCGGACGTGCAGGGCCGAGTCCGCCGCGGCTTTACTGCTTAGTGATTTGCACGTGACCCGCCTGGCAAGCCAAAGCCGAATCCCTTGACTCTTAGAGGGAACTCTCACTGTTTTCGAGAAACGAAGCGGGAACCGCTTTATCGGGGATCCGAGTGAAACTCGATGGCTCTATTTCGAGATTATATATTGTACAGGCACGAGGGTAGCTATGAGAACTCATGCTTCTGTTTCTCTGGGAGCGACAGCCACCGAGCACAGGACCGCCCCTACGATTTCCGTATTCCCCGACGCCTATTTGTCCCACCTCCGTGCGCCTCCGGTCGTCCCTTCGATCATTTACTTGCCCAACAATTCTTACTTTTTAATTCTTCGTCCGCGTGGGTATCCTCCTCCTCCTCCTCCTCCCGCCTCCGTCGGTCCATTCGCCATCCAGGCAGACTCCGTTCGAGATTGCGATATCACGCAGGAAGTGATGCCGTAGGTCGAGCAAGAATCCATAGCCGAAGCGCCTCGACGTCTCGACGTCCCGACGTCCCGACGTCCCGACGTCTTGGCGCAACGAAGCGGGATGTTTACGACGGTTCGCAACTGGTAGCTGCCAGCTGGCAGCGGCCTGGATGAGCTTGGTAAGTCGAAACACAAGGCGAATTCTCCTTGGGCGTCGTCGAATATCGTAGGAACCTATATTGTAGGCTCGGCGAGCCACTTAATTGAGAAAACTCCCCGAGTTTCCTGGCTGTTGAGAAAAACACGGGCATCCCGGAGCATAGTCGCTAACAACAGAAGATTAATTGCTTTAATTTCCGAGACATGATTAATCATAATTAACAGTTGAGCGGGCCGCGAGTAGCTTCTGGAGGGGAGCTGAACTAAGGTAGCCGAGTAGCTCGGCCAGAGCGTGAGAAGGAACGAGAGAAAGAGTAGCGGAGGGGGAACGGGCCAAGAACCGGTCCAGATGAATAATATCCCCCAACAGGCGCAACGCGGCCGGCTTCCTCTTATAAAACAATGTTTTTCGCAAATTAAGAGATTGTAATAATGGCCTTAATGTGCTTCTCCCGCGGCGGCCCCCCGAGCCTGAAATTACTTTGCCACTTTCAACTGTTATTTATTGTCTCCTCGTTACAGCCAAAGTTTCAACCAGCCGACCCCAATTGGCCCATTCGAGGCATCGCTGACGCGCGACGGCTCGGCGGCCGCGCCGCTCGAGGACGTCGAGGACGTCGAGGACGTCGAGGACGTCGAGGACGTCGCGTGTCGCCGATGTTCCCTCGATCGGGAATATCTTCGTCTTCGATTTCGCGCCTGTCGATCGTGAGTTCCGGCACAAAGCGCGAAACGCGAGTGGGAAGGGACGCGGGGCCAAAAGTATATTTGAGTGTCGGTGCACGAAGCCGTAATAACCAGCCGAAATGTTGAGCCGAGCCTAAGCCAACCCGCCTTCAACATTATATGAAGTCTTTAAGCTTTCGCGCGTCTGCGAGAGCCGTTCGATCGAAAAGTATTTCTCATTTGGCCTTTCAGGCGGTCTTAGGATTATGGGCACTCCTTCCACTCTTCCTCTCCGACCCCGCTCTTCTCCCTCCTATCGCCACGTGTCCTCCATGCATGTCCTATCGGCTGCATCTCTCCTCGATCTTCAGGAGCTCAAGCTCCTCGAGACGATCGTGATCGGTAGAACCGTGCTGCATCGAGTCGATTTTGCGGGACACAGCTATGCTTTTGACCTGTGTAGTCATGAAGAATCAGGAAATCGGGGACTCGGTAGTACAGCCTGCAGAACGTTGACGGAGTAACGGATGCTGCTCGAATGTCAAGATCAAGCGCTTGAGTTGCTGCACACAAAAATCTGCTAAGAAAAAAAAATAAAAAATAAAAATAAAGAGGAGAAGACGAGCTCTGAGGGCGGTTGTGCCGAAGAAGAAGAGGGCTGGCAAGTAGGAGCTTGTGAAGAAGAGAGTCGGAGAGCTGGAGGGAAGGAAGGGTAGGTAGCAAAAGAACGTTTGAGCTGGATGAAAATAAAAGTTTCGTAAATTTGAGTGGTGGTTTAGCGATGTGGTTGCGTCTCCGAACCGCCAAAGCTGACCGCCGATAAAACCCATGCCTATAACCAAAGCAATTCTCACTTGGATCGATTCTAATTAAATAGAAATGCCAGGCTGCGCTCGTAGGCACCAGCGAAACCGCCAACGATACCTGCGCACCGCCTCGTTTCCCTTTGAAAATTTCAGTGGATGTGTAATCCCGAGTGCCAGGATTCATTCTAACTCGGCACGGCGCAGCTCCTCCCCGCCCCTCCCCGCCCGGCCCAGTTCACGGCCCAGTTCACGGCCCAGTTCACGGCCCTTTCCACAAAGCTCTAGACACTCCGAACTCATCCCACTGCGCGATCGATCGTCTTTCATTACGATCGCATAGAAACTCCGCGCGTCCCCTAATAAATCTTGAAGCCGCGCTGCGCTACTCTCCGCCTTTACCACAGCCTCCACCTCCACCTCCACTTCTTCCGTTCTTCTGGAGAGAACTCAAACTCCATTGTCAAACAACTCGAATTGCATTCGCCGAGAGAACTGCACCTCGAGACGACTTGCCGCCGCCGCCGCCGCCACGTGTGCTTCGTGTGCGGGACGGATTGCCTGTTCACCGCCCGATCTTGGCCCTGGCAGGTATCAAATCGCCAGGACGTTCCTGGGTCACGTGGAAGACATTAAGAAGTCGAATTACGTGACTGGGCCAAGAGCCTTCGAGGAGCCTTCGAGTAGCCACGAATGGAAGGTGCAAATCCGACGGCCCCGGACTGCGGGCACAGGACGATGCCCAGGAGACACGACCACGACCACGACCTCCAAGCATTTCAAGCCGGAAGCTCAGCCGGGTCTCGACCTCGTCTCTGAACTTCTATTAAATTAAAAGCTCTATTTAATTAAGCCGCCGGTGATAGGGGCCACAGGGGAGGTGGTGGTGGGCGCCGGGACGCTCCAACAACAGGATAACAACTCATGTAACAAGCGGCTGCTCGATGTCAGATGAACAAGCCGGCATTGCAGGACGGATCTAAATTGCGATCGACATTAATTAAAATAACCGTTAGTGGGAGAAAATGCACAGGTTTCCGAGGAAATAAATAATTCATGAGATCGCGAGACGAGGGGTAAAAATACATATTTATTCGCCTAACGGGCCTGCATTTTTTTGCATAATGAACTTAGAGCGCGTTTCCGCACGCGCTGTTCCCACTTTTCTCCTCCTCGTTATCGTTCCCCTCTCGTCGCTGCAGTCTCTCTTTCTTCGCTTTCCTTGCCTCCCCCGCCTAATCCTGTTCCTGTCCTTGCCATTATCCGAGTGCAGATTTACTCGTCGTCAGCGCCCCCTCGCTCGCCACTCGACTTAAAACCGTCTTCTTCCGCTTCCGCGCCCGATTCTCGCAAATATTCGATTGATGTAGCCGATTAACGCAGGCGATGTCGTACCTACCACTGGGTGCCGCAATTCAGAGAATCGCCGCTTAAGAGCTACCTTCCTACGTAACGTATCGTCATCATCGAGCCAAACCAGAGAGTGATTATCATACTCCGCGTGTTGTTGTGAAAAATTGAAAAAAAAACAAGTCCAACTGCATTTATTAAAAAACCGTGGCAGTTATTTTTAACGTCAAATAATTGTTCTGTTTTTAAAAAATATATGTCAAGTTTTAATATTTAAAGAGATACGCATTTTTGAGTGTTTTTGCTGCAAAATAGTTTTTCAAGGAATACGCGAAATAAGCTGAAGAAATCGTAAAAAGATTGCAGAGTTCTGTAAAGGTCTAACGATTGTCTACGAGATGGAAAAAACAATTGGTTGAAACTCTTAGACTACTCTAGGCTACCTGGCCTCAGAAAGTCCAGATGGTCCAATGTAAAATATCGTGCCAACCGCGTGTCACTTACAGATGATTTCGTATAGAAAAAAGTAGGAATTTAAGATAGCGTAGCGGCTAAAATCTTGTCAATTTATCCTTACAGTACAGATCCTCCGAGCGAAGAATCTCAGTTGCCACGGGTGATGACTCGGTCGGCTATTCAGTTCCTCGATACGACTGCCGGCAGCACGAGCGAAGTGGACGGTAGTGCCATCTTCGAAGAACCTCATAAATTCCCTAACGTGAAAATGGAGAAAGCGAGAAAGAGAGACGAGATGTTGCGACATACAGTGCTTGGAAGGTGCTGCCCCCTTAAGCGGCAAGTATTTCAACTACGCGCTCTTAACGGGTACGAGCGGTATGTACGCTTGTACCTGTTAGCGACGTCGGTTTTCGTCACTTGTTCTATTAATATCTCTAACTCTTGAATCGTATAAAATATCTTGATAATTTAACGAGCAGTGTTACTTAAACTTTTGGAAGGAGCTCCAAAACGTTTTACGACCCTTTTAAAATTTAGAAGAGCGAATAGTGACTCCATGTTCCGCGAAGGCTGAACAACTGATCACCGATCGATTTTAAAATACTTGAAATGAAATAAAAATTGGAGTATATTTAATAAGACAAAGGGCGAGTGATGAAGAAAACAGAAAGTTTGTGCGTAGCCACATGACACTTTCTCTCTTTATGGTCGGCATAGTTGGACTCTTTGAGTAATTGCCGCGTGCTGCAGTTTGAAATGAACTGCGCCTAGGATATCTTGAAGAATCGAGAGAATTCGTGCGGAAAGAGCAAATGCTGAAGGACGAGGGAGGGAGAGGAGCGTGCACCGTGAGCTACCAATGAAAAGGAGCCAGCCTCGGTTCGCAGTGAAGGTTCACTCTGGTTCGCTCCCTGCCGACTCACTGCCTTTCTCTTTGCTTTGGCTTCGCCTCGAACTTTCGGATCAGTTTCTGTAGAAACGTCACGCCACGAGCCAGTGTAGAATGCCTTGAGGGAGAATCGCGGGGAAACGTGCCAGTGTCTTTCCGCGACATAAAAAACGGGTACGTCACCAACCCGAGAATCATTCCTCTGCGAGCGTTCAGGGATTTTTAATTTTTCTCTGCTCTTTGAAGGATCCGATAAACTCGAATGCCTTGTTATAGTGGGCCGACACTCCATTAGAGAAGCAAAAGTCTAGAGTCAAAAGCATTTTAAAATGTGACAGTTCCGAGCGCCAGTCATTCTTTCCCGTCTTTCCCATCCTTCCCTTGTTTCCTGCAATGGGATCCGGATATAAGTGCCGTGGAGCGAAAAGAGTATTTGTTATTGCGCGAAGAAAACTGCATATCGAAGCCAAGTGCTGACAGCGTCGGGAGGCCCAGTGACCTGACACAGGAAACGAAAGATACGCTAGACGTCCTCTGGAGGAGTCGCGGAGGAGACGCAGGAGGAGCCGATTAATACGGTAAAAGAATTCCCAAGCACTCGTTGCCAGTGTTCTTCTCCTGAACGTCGGTACGTTTCTTCTTTAGTCGATTTTTTACAGACTAAATGCGCAACTAGTATATCTTGACTTTTCCCGGGCAGCATTCTCTCAGTTTCGAGGAGTTTAGAATCAGCCCGTTGCCAGATTGCCAATTGTAAGATCAACACGTCCGGTTCCGTGAAGCGAGGACATTGCGCAGCAGTTACGTAGTGCACGCGAGTACCTGCCCTCCTGCCCTCCTTCCTTCCTTCCTTCCTTAATCTGTTTCTCTACGTCTTTCCTCCTTTCGTTCACACGTCCCTTCCGCTACTTCGAATACTACTTGGAAAGGTCACATTCCGCATCAGGCGCTGCTCACGTGTCTCGTACCTGTCAATCGATTAAGTCGATCGATAAGTCTTTCACGAATGTTCAGCGGTCCAGGTAAATCCCACACGATCGAAAGAGGCCTCGAGGGCCAATCGGATCGCCAATCATTTAGAAATGTATAAAGGCGTACGAGATTGCAGGATCGATTAGACTTCCCACTCGTGTTCGATCATTCGAGATAGGCCTCAGTCGAGATAGTCGAATGGGGGACTTTTAACGTATCCTCCCTTATTAGCAAACGTCGTCTCTCAGACTACAGCGACTACTCTGGGCTGCTCGGACCAACCGACGAATCTCCGAGCATTAGCATGTAGGTCTGCGCAGAAGTACAAGGGACGTCTTGTGAATATTTTTTTTCTTTTCATTCTTCCCGATGAACTATCAGCGATGACGATGTACTCACTCATTCCCACACAGTCGTACCGCCTATGCGATATTCCGTCAGTTCTCTTCGTTTGCTCCTCGTCCGACAACCGTGTGAATCACCTTCGCGTGGGCTGCACTTTTATGAAAAAGGCAAAAGCTTCTTGCGAGGCTGATTCTCGGGTGACAGACCTCTCGATTATTACTGCGCTTCATTATCTCAGGAAGGCGTTCGAGTCGACAGTCAGAAAGATCTTGTTGAAGATTCTGCCGGCTTAGTGATGCTGCCCGCCTTGACGCTGCTGCTGCTGGGCTTGACCGGGGCGGCCACGGCTGTTTACATTCCACCAGGACCAAAGTACAGCTGCCCCAAGGACTCGAAATACATCTACCCCTGCAAGTGCCTTGCCGCGGACGACGCCGGCCTCTACGTCCGCTGTGAAAATGCGAATCTGGCTAGCTTGAGCCTGGGCTTGATGAATCTGGGCCGCCAAGGCTCGCCGATCGAGGAGCTCATCTTGTACAAGTGCAACATAGGTCAGTATTTTAGTATGTCAGCATGTCAGCATGTCACGACTCATAATTCTGCTCGGGCGTGACCAATCGACACGCGTCGATTCGCATGTAAATAATTAATTGTCCCAAGCTCGATTCTATGGGCCTGCGCTCTACCCCTTGGAGGTTCGCGTCCTCAAAATCATCGACACTCCAATAAGACTGATCGAGGAGCACAGCTTCTTGGGCCTGAATCGAACCCTTCAGGAGCTTCACTTGCTGCGAACCGAGCTGGAGAGGTTCCCCAGGGAGGCTCTTCGGATCCTGGGAAATCTCACGGTCCTCGAGATCAGCGGGCATCGCATAGCCGCCCTGCCGGGAAACAGCTTTGCCGAGAGCATGGCCGCTGCGAAGCTCGAGAGGCTCGAAATCAGCAACGGTAAGGTCAAGTCGACAATGCTAATTAAAGTTTAAAAGCGAAAGCGCTACGAGCCATGCTTGCGCACTTCCGACAGGATCGATATCCTCGCTTCCGGTGGAAGCGCTCACGCCTCTGAGGAGGCTCAAGATCCTCAGGCTTCATGGGAACAGAATCAAGGAACTCAAGAGAAATCAGTTCAAAGGTCTACGGGATACCGAGAGCCTCGATCTCTCGCACAACCTGATCGATAAGATCGATCCCTCTCACCTGGCCGACCTCACGAAAATGGGCTGGTGCAATTTGTCGCACAACGCGATCGCCGAATTGAAAAGGTAGGCCACTCGATTAGATTGACCTCCAGCGTACAGCCTACGTAATGCCACGTGCCTTGCGCATCCTGCAGGGGTACCTTTGCGAGAAACTCCATACTGAAAGTCCTGAACCTGAGTCACAATAAAATACGACGACTGGACTCGAACACCTTTCGAGGGATGCGCTTTCTGAGGAGACTCTTCCTCAGCGACAACGAGATACGCGACGTGGGCCGAGGAACGTTCGACTCGATTACGAAAATCGGCACAATCGATTTGGCACGTAACTTTATTAAACGAATCGACTACCAGATGTTCAGTCAGCTGCAGTACGCCGAGGTAAGAGCGATCTAAATACTATCGGATGACAACGGAGAGATAATCGTTCCCTTCAGCTTTTAGACGTATCCGAAAATGAAGTAACTGTCGTTGAGAAGCTGGCCTTCAAGGACCTCTTTCTGACGAAGATCAATCTCTCGCGCAACGAAATTTCAAAAATTGAGCCCAGAGCTTTTGAGAATTGCGCCAACATCACGGTTCTCGATCTGAGCCACAACAAACTGGACAACATATCGAAGCTGGCCTTCGATAGCACGACTTACGCTACGGAATTGCAGCTGAGCTACAACATGCTCACTGCCCTGAATCAGGTCGGTTCGATCGGCGATTAATCAATTAATCGATTAATCGATTAATCGATCGAGCTGCCAGAGAGGATCCTCGTATTAATTTATATAAAATTTCAATGCAACTCAGGTACCGCTGCAGAACATGACCGGCCTGAAGATCCTCAATGTCTCGCACAACAATCTCCACACGGTGCCAAGGCAAACCTTTCCGAAGCTCTACGAGCTTCACACGATCGACCTCTCCTACAACAATATATCGGAGATCTACAACGCGGTCTTCCAGAGCCTCTTCAGCCTGCGCTACCTGAATCTCTCGGAAAATTCTCTCGAGAAGATAAAGCCCTCGACCTTTGGACCGCTGCCGACGCTACTCGAACTCGACATGAGCCACAATCGGCTGAGCGACGTGTCACGCGGCAGCCTGACCCGACTCGCCAGCTGCAGGAGCCTCTCCCTTAAGGGAAACTACCTGACCAAGATATTCCAGCTCCCGATCTCCCTGGGGTATCTCGATCTCTCGGACAACGCCCTCGAGGAGATTCCGACGGAGGACGTCTGGCCGTCGATGAACGCACTTCTCGGGCTGGACCTCTCGAGGAACAGACTGGCCGACAGTCTGAAGCACGGGAGCTTCGCCAACCTCCTGACCCTGAGGAGCCTCGACTTGCGGAGCAACAACATCACGCAGCCACCGTGGGCCGCCCTGAGCACCCTGAGCAGCCTCCAGTATCTCAGCTTGGAGGACAATCAGTTGACTGTGCTGGAGAAAGCCGCGTTCGGCCGTCTCCCGATTGTCTTCGAATTGAACCTCGCGAAGAATCGCATTCGAGAGGTGAGCGTGCGCGCGTTCGAGGGTCTTCTGCAGCTGCTTACGTTGAACCTGACAGGCAACGAGATCGGCCACATCCCGAATGGCGCATTGCAGGGGCTCGTCTCTCTGAGGACTCTCGATCTCTCTCACAACTCCCTGGAGAGGCTCGAGAATAAGACCCACGGGCTGCTCGACGACTGCCTCTCGCTCGCGAGGGTCAACCTCAGCCACAACAAGATATCGTTCATCGATCGGAAAACCTTTCCCAGCAGTCCATGGATCCCGTACAGACTCAGGGAAGTCGACCTCTCCTATAACACCATGCCAGTTCTCACCTACGACATTACCGTGGGAACGAAAACGCTCGTCAGCTTGAATCTCAGTCACAACAGTATCAACGAGATAAGAAAGTGTGAGCCAGCAAGACACGCGACGGGTCAAAGATCCATCTGGACGGTTGTGGTTATCGATGTTCATTAAAAAAAGAAAAATCTGTCTTACAGATGTCATCGGTAATATGACGTCCTTGGAAACGCTGGATCTCTCTCACAATGACCTGAGCGACCTTTCCGAGGAGAACGTCTTCGCGCCGCCGGCGAACCTCACGAATCTCTACCTCGGTCACAATCGACTGACTCAGCTGCCCTTGAGCAGGATCGTGCCAATGCCAAATCTAAGGATCATCGACGTCGAGGACAATACGCTCGAAAGTTTCGACGCGAATATAATGAGCGTCATCGAAAACGGCACGGTACTCCGTTACGCTGGTCCGTAAAGATCCGCTTCGAATATTCCGATCGATAGGTCGATAGATCGATAGATCGATAGATCGATCGATATATCGATAGATCGCTTCACGATAAGTACTGACAGACCATTTTCATCCCTCAGGCAACCCGCTCAACTGCGATTGCTCGGTAAGACCGCTACGAAGATGGCTCAGCACGTTGATCCAAGTCCCGACCGAGTGGTCCGACTTGAAGTGCGCCAGTCCGAGTTACCTGGCCGGAAAACCGATAGCGGAGGTCAGCGAGGACTTGATGAGTTGCGTCCTCGAGGATGTCACTGACGATCCGAAGTTCGAAATAACGCCGGACATTAAGTACCGCAGCATCGAATAGTGAGTCGCGGATCCTTTGGCTGGCAACCATACGCGCTTGTATAGGGGAATGTAATGAATGACGTTTGCTTTGCAGCGACGGCGACGACGATTCTTGGACGGTCACGTGGTACGTTACGTCCAGGGAGGATATTGGGGACTTTTACGTAGTCGTAAGAGAGCCTGGCGCGAGCAAGTCCGTCCTTGAAAAGGATGTGGTTTACAGTGAAAGATCACTTAAGATTCCTAGTCTCCCTGCGGCCGCTACAAAGTACGAGCTTTGCGTCCTTGCCAGGGACTCCGAGGGAAACGTCAAGCACTTCAGGAGTTCCCAGTGTCAAATGCTCAGCAAGTCTTCGTTCAGTTTGGCAAGCGAACTAAAGTCCGGAGTCTCTGCGACTCTCCTACCCGCCGCCATTCTGTACGTCACGCAATTCTGAAAACACGCGCGCACGCACGCACACGCACGCACACGCACGCACACGTATTTATTTGTGAATCCAATTTATGAAAAATACACTAATCGCGATTGCATAACTTTAAAGACGGTGGCCGTTACGTACCTGAGTCAATAAATGTACATTGAATGCACGCGAAGAATTAAAAAAAAATAATAGCCGCTCGCTGATTTCGAGTTGCTCTTCAATAAATGATTTGCTCTCGTGCGCGCGTCACGTCGATTCCTTTCTCCACGTCGAGCGCATTCTCCAGGCGCCGTAACAAAAGACTTTCTCAAAGGCATCTTCTCAGGGAAGTCGCCGACTAGCGGCAGATTGTTTCACGATTCTACGCTTTTTAATTATAATCTCTGAAAAGGGGCTCTAACGAGTCTAGAATTATGAAACTGCTAGTTTCCCCGATAGAGGGGAGCCAAAGGTAGATGTATGAGATTAGCATCCAAGGAGCATAACAGCCGCTGCCCTTGAACCGAGCGCCTCTCAGAGATTCAAGAAGGACAACTTCTTAAGATTTCCCACCGTCAATACGGATTGAGCAGTTGGCTACACAGTGGCCACACAGTTAACCCATTAGTTTCATGTATCAAGCGAATCACGGCTTTCTTCCAAGGATTACCATAATTGTGCTCAGAGCTGAGGCCGATCGCAGGAGCCGAGAATAGTAGGAGGGGACGAATTGGAGCTGCGTGTCAAACAGTCCTGCGAAAGAAACCGCGCAGGATCAGACCTCCTGTGTCAAAAAATAGTTGTCTGTCTTTGTTGCGC